GCCTGTAATCCCAGCTACTCAGGAGGCTGAGGCAACAGAATAGCTTGAACCCGGGAAGTGGAGGTTGCAGTGAGTGGAGATTGTGCCACTGCACTCCAGCAACCTGGGCAACAGAGTAAGACTCTGTTCTAGATACTAAAAAAAAAAATGTTGTGGCTATTCTTGTTTCATTGTGCTTTCATGTTAATTGTAGTATCTTAGGTTCCAGGGGGAGAGAAGATTACATCCTGTTGATATTTTGACTGAAATTGCTTTGAATTTGAAGATTAATTTGAGGATAATTTACATGAATAGGATATATTACTCCATTTATTTGATCTTCTCTAATATCTTTCAATAATAGAGATACCTATTACTTCCATAGGTCTTATACACCTTTCATTTAGATTTCATCTCAAATGCCTTATGTTTTTTGTTGTGATTGTAAGTGGTATATTTTTAAATTACATTTTAAGTAAGTTGCTAGCATATAAGAATATACTTTATTTTTATAGGTAGATCTTAAATCTGGCAACATTGCTTAATTATCAATTCTGTAATTTGTCCATAGATTTTACTGAGTTTTCTATGTACACAACGTTGTGAAGAGTAATAATTTTCTCTCTTTCCAATCTTTTCACTTTTTATTCTCTTAATTTGCTTTGCTATGCTAGCTGGAACTTTCTAGAAAATGGAGTTGAATTTACCATTGAGGTTTTTTTTCTTTTTTATGTATCTCCCAGGTTGCAATACCAGTTTTGGTAAATAATTTTTTATCAGATTAGGGAAATTCTTCTAGTCCTGGTACAATGGGAGTATTTTTACCAGGTGCAGTGGCTCATGCCTGTAATCCCAGCACTTTGGGAGGCCGAGGGGGCAGATCACTGGGTCAGGAGTTTGAGACAAGCCTGGCCAATATGGTGAAACCCTGTCTCTACTGAAAATACAAAAATTAGTCAGGTGTGGTGGTGCACACTTGTAGTCCCAGCTACTGTTGAGGCTGAGGCAGAAGAATCACTTGAAGCTGGGAGGCAGAGGTTTCAGTGAGCTAAGATTGCGTCACTGTGCTCCAATCTGGGTGACAGAGCAAGACTCCATCTCAAAAAAAAAAAGCATTTGCTTCAGTGCTGAATTTTTTCAAGTGCTTGCTTTTTGGGGGCTGCCATCTCTGGAAATGATTATATGCTTACTTCCTGAAACACGTTAATGTAGCATATCTTATTGATATATTTTTAAATGTTAAATGTAAACATTTTTCAATAATAATTAGCTAACTTGTGAAAGGGAAAGAAGGAGTAAAATACATACACATTTGTAGGTTTATTAAATATTAAGAATTCAACTAAGGGGTAGAAAAGTCAATATTTGATCATTGAAATTTACTTCTAATTCAAAATTTTATTTGCTGATTTCAACCCATTCTTTTTGAGTTTTTTTATTACTAAATTTAATTTTTACCTCAAATGCCTACCTTCCTGTAGAGAAGATGGTCAGCAGTAAAATGATTCAGAGTGTAGTGGCATAAACAGTTGGGGAAAAAAGTAGAAGAGGATTAAATAAGAGAAATAATCCTAGCATGTTTGTTTAGTAGTTACAGCTCTGTGGTATGTGAAACATTAGTTGTGAATGCTGGTGTTATAGCAATCCAATAAATAAATTTTACCTGTAGGATTAAAGGAAAGGTAAAATAAGCATATTATTCACTATATATTTATTTTTCTTTATTTACTTTTAAAAAATTAATCCAGATCAATATATGCTTAAGAACTTAAACAATATAAACATATAACTTAAATTTGGTATGTATCCTGTCAGCCTTCCTTTTTGTGCACAACAATATTCTAACATTTTTCAGTACAATATAATGTCTATATATTTAAAACTACTATGGATTTGAATAAGGTATCTAGAATACTGTTACAATCTTAACAGTGTCTCTCTCTTTTTTTTAATTAGTTAGAAACTGGAAATGTTTCTAAAGTTTATTTGGATGGAAGTTTAGCAGTGAGTATTGATTTCTCTTGTCTTTTCCACAGAAATACTCATGGGCCGGGCATGGTGGCTCATACCTGTAATCCCAGCACTTTGGGAGGCCAAGGCGGGTAAATCAGTTGAGGCCAGGAGTTTGCGACCAGCCTGGCCAACATGGTGAAACCCCGTCTCCACTAAAAATACAAAAATTAGCTGGGTGTGGTGGTACATGCCTGTAATTCCAGCTCTTGGGAGGCTAAGGCATGAGAATTGCCTGAACCTGAGAGGCAGAGGTTGCAGTGAGCCGAGATCATGCCACTGCACTCCAGCCTGGGTGACAGAGTGAGACTCTGTCTCAAAAATAAATAAATAAGAAGCACTCATGGATGTATACCAAACATAAATAAATACATATACATACACAACACATACATACACAGGAATATTCGCCTTGGAATATTGTTTGTAATCGTAAAAAACAACCCATAACCCTCCCTTAGGTGTCATGAAGTACATCCATACAATGGGATATCTTGTAGCTTTGAGAAAGAATGATACAGTTTCATATTAGTACATACAAGGTTCAGTATAGTGTTTGTAATGTTTGTGTTCTTTTTTATTAAGAGGGGAAGGGGTACCTATTTACTTATCATGCCCCCATACTGTGGCATAAGGTGCAGCAATTAAAGAGTGTACTGACATGAAAAGATCTCTGAGATAAATTGTTAATTTTTAAAATAATGATAAAATGAGTCATAGAATGTTTATCATCTGATTTCATCTAAAAAAGTTATTCCTACATTGTTATCATTGTATTAATTTTTATTTTTTAATCACCTTTCTGACAAATCTAAGTGCATATTAAAAGGAGAGGATGTATGCATACCTAAGTACTAACAATGGTGACTCATTAGAGATACTTGGAACAGGGAGGTTCAGACTGGAGAGGGTCTTCTCTATATTGTTTGAGTTTTTGTGATGAAACTATATTCATGTATTATTTGTGTAATAAAGAAGGAAATAACGGTATGCACTCAGTACCTAAAAATGAAGTTATGAAGATAAAAATGTTTTTCATAGTAAAAAAAAATTTAAAATTTTTTTTGAGACGAAACTTCTCACTCTGTTGCCCAAGCTGGAGTGCAGTGGGTGCAATCTCGGCCCACTGCAACCTCTGCCTCATGAGTTTAAGCGATTCTCTGGCTTTAGCCTCCCGAGTAGCTGGGATTGCAGGTGTGTGCCACCATACCCAGCTAATTTTTGTATTTTTTAGTAAAGACAGGGTTGTACCATGTTGGCCAGGCTGGTCTTGGACTCCCAACTTCAAGTGATCCATGCACCTTGGCTTCCCAAAGTGTTGGGATTACAGGCATGAGCCACTGTGCCCAGCCAAGATAACTTTTTTTTTTTTTGAGATAGAGTCTTACTCCGTCACCCAGGCTGGAATGCAGTGGCACAATCTCAGCTCACCACAACCTCCACCTCCCAGGCTCAAACGATTCTTGTGCCTCAGCCTCCCGAGTAGTTGCGATTACAGGCACACGCTACCACGCTCAACTGATTTTTTGTATTTTTAGTAGAGATGGGGTTTTGCCATGTTATCCAGGCTGGTTTTGAACTCCTGAGCTCAGGCAATCCGCCCACCTTTGCATACCAAAGTGCTGGGATTACAAGCATGAGACATTGGGCCAGGCCAAAAATTTTTTGCAGAAAATAAAATAGCCACAGTAGCCTCCCTACCCACATTTATCCAGAGATAACTACTGTTAAAGCTTTGAAAATATCCTCCCAGAGGTAAGGGACATTTTATGGAGGGCATTTAATGCTAAACCAAGGAAAGCAAGAGAAAGATCACCACGTAAAAAGTTTACCCTTAGCTGAGCAGACAGTGGGCATGTTTTTTGGAATAGAAAAATAACATGATAACATGTAACTTATTGTCTTATGGTTATACTTTTTGTTGTATCCCCAGTGCCTATATGACACGTAATAGCCATTAATGAGTATGTGTCTAAGAAATGAGTGATGGTGATCTGCTAACCATTGGTGAAGCTCTTGTAGTTCCAAAACCCACAATTAAGAAACCATACTAGTTGACTGCTAAAAAACTACCCATTGCTCAATAATGGTGGCAGATATCCCTTAATATTACTCTCTGTACCTTAGATTAGCACCAACAACTAATACCACTGTTTTCTCAAAGTATTGCAAGACAGGGAAAATTCTCATTAGACAGTCTAGGGTGACATAGAAAGCCTTGTTTAAGAAATAATACTGGCCAGGCGTGGTGGCTGACACCTGTAATCCCACCACTTTGGGGAGGCTGAGGTGGGAGGATTGCTTGAGTTCATAAATTGGAAACCAGCCTGGGCAATATAGTGAGACCTTGTCTCTGTTAAGAAAAAAAGGGCCGGGCATGGTGGTTCACGCCTGTAATCCCTGCATTTTGGGAGGCTGAGGCAGGCGGATCGCCTGAGGTCAGGAGATGAAGACCAGCCTGACCGATATGGTGAAACCCCATCTCAACTAAAAATACAAAAAATAGCCGGGCCTGGTGGCAGGTGCCTGTAATCCCAGCTACTCGGGGTACTGAGGCAGGAGAATCACTTGAACCCAGGAGGCAGAGGTTGCAGTGAGCTGAGATGGCACCACTGCACTCCAGCCTGGGTGGCAGAGTAAGACTCCGTCTCAAAAAGAAAAAAGAAAAAAAGAAAAAAAAAGTAATACCTAACTATCTCAGCTACCAAGGAGCTCCGGCCTTCTTTGTCTCTTACAAGCCTTGTCTCACACAGAACACTTCTCTATAGAGAATGGAATGAATCAGTTACTCATGATGAAAGAGATAGATTATAAAAACTGGAGTATTTGGCTGTTCTGTACCTGTGCCTCAGAGGCCAAATGAAAACTGCCTAATTTTGGAAATTTGTATGTACATAAATGTGCATTAGGGATCATTTTAACTGTGTAGGTGGTTATCATGGAGCCTAAGATGAAGTTTCTGAATTTTTTAGGGAAACATTAATTTGTATTATTTGTGTTTTTCTTCTTAGTTTCTGCTACTGCCTTCTACAAAGCACAACCTGTAATTCAGTTCATGTGTGAAGTTCTTGATATTCATAATATTGATGAGCAACCAAGACCTCTGACTGATTCTCATCGGGTAAAATTCACCAAAGAGATAAAAGGTGAATTAATTAACATTTAGCACAACTTAACTAGAAAATGCATGGATATAACAACCTTTTACTTAAATTTTTTTGCATAATTAAAATCTGTTTATGTAACATCACCAGTAAAAATATACATCGATTATAAAATAAAATATTACATTAAATTCATTACTGTAACATCTTAGGTAGTATTCGAAAGAAATGCAAAGTAATGGAATTAGTATCACTACCAGCTATTTTTTTGTTAATACTTTCCCTCAGTAGCTGAAGGGATAAAAATATCTCATGGGAAAATGCTTTAATAATATTGTTAAAAGTAGGAAACTTATTCCAAAAATATTTGTTACTTCAGAACTAGAATTCTTAGAACATATTCTAATATAATGGTTTCCTTATTTTTCTGAAATGATAGTTGTTTTATTTATTTTAGTACTTTGAAAATGTATGAATATAGGGCTAGCCTGTTTCATGCGTTGTTATAGAATTATAGTTATTTAATGTAAATTACAGAGTTGACTGTTGATCTCATCTGTTATACTTAGTAGCTGAATTTGTACAGTGTTGTTGCATCATATGTACATTTAACTCAAATAAATTCATTCTCTATGGCTGCCCAAAAATAAAAAGAAAAAATAATTTTAATAGTGTTCTAAAATGTATATTTTATATGTACTTAGTCTGATACTCTCTAATCAGTATGAGTAGGATAAATTCTATTTATATTGTTAGATCCTAAATAGCCAGAAATAATTATGTTGTTTTTATTTTAAGATTTTACCTATTTATTGCAGATAATTTTCAGCTTGTGGTTTGAATGAAGCATTTAAGTTTGTTCACTGAACATCTTTCAGTTCCCCCAATCAATTAGAATAGTTTAATACATCCTGCTTGCTCCAGTAATCATTCACTCTTTGCCTTCAGTAACCGGGAAATAGTCATTGTAATAAAACATTAAAAGGAAGATCCACGCTGCTTCAAAAATAAGCATCCTTTTATCTCAAGTTATTTAAATGCCAAAATAAGAAACTGTTTATGTAGCTGTTTTGCAATCATACCATTGTCCTTTCATAATCTGTATTAAATGCACAGCTAGCATTATCAGAAGGTAGTGCATTACCTCCCATTAATATGTGATCATCTAAATGCCATGGTTTCCAGTGGAGTTGCTGCTTAGTTACCACCTCTGATATCATGAAGTCACATACATTACTTTGCGGTAACTATGCAATCAACTCATATCACCACTCTATCACAGAAAATACAAGATGTACAGAACAAGGATTCCACCGCTGCCCGAAGAGCATGGACTCGATCTTAACTTCAACTGCTCAGGGGCCCAAAGAAATGACTGAAAAAATGACTAGAAAGCATAATAAAGTTGATGTTATAGTGAAGGTAAAGCCAAGTTTATAGGTTAAATATTTATTAAAGCCAAAAGTGTTTTTTTGGTTGGATGGAGGGTTTGGGGAGGGACCTGGGCAGAGAATTATCTAGTCCACTTTTTTAAAATTTCAACTTTCGCTAGCCCCTAGATTTTGGCCTGATTCTTAGGTACTTATGATCCTAGTTTGGGGGTGGAAAAATCTGGGTTGGATCCAATTGACAAACTGATTATTTTTTTCTCCATTCCTTTCCAAGTACAGTAGGGCTTTTTTTTTTTTTTTCAAAGAAGGCTCTTTAAAGTACATCATGTATTCCTACTACAGTAACCCAAGAGAATAAGAGTTTTGTGTTCTGTATCTATGGGTTTAATTTTTAGCTGGTATGAAGAATTTGATGCTGTTAATTATTGACACAAAGTGTGCTATAAAGAATAGGCTTTCTTAGTATATTCATCTTATTCCAGTTGAACATGTACCTAAATATTAAACAATAACTTTGGAGTGGTTTCTTTATCCAATAATTCTTGGTAGTTAAACAGCAGAAATATTAGGAAACATGTATGGTAAAAGTACCATATGTATATAAAAGTGCCAATTTATTTTTAGTAAAGGCTTATTTTGTATATAGGCTTGGAGAACCTTATTAACATTTTTTTAATTCAAGAGAAGACTTGAAAATAAATTGCTAAGTGGTACAAACAACAGAAATTTGCTTTAGACTTTTCTGTTGTGTTCTCCCCTGAACATATTATTATATCTTGTTTACATCATATTATTAGTATTTTCTTCTTTTAAGGTCCTCCCTTGATAGTATTTTATTTTCTAGTCTCCTTTATAATGCAAACACATAGTAATTCTCTAACTGATCTGACATTTTTGTTTTATAAAGGTAGTTTTAATGCAAAACTGCTACTCACTGATTTGAGGAAGAACACTTCCAAAGAAAAACAAACCAATACCAGTCTGGTACAGGGATGTATACCATGTCCATTTAACATCTTAATTTGTTCTGATCTATCAGAAGAAAATATCATTTATATGATTGAGCTTTGTGTTTGGTACTAATTTTCTTACCTAATTGCAGTTAGTTAGATAAGAAAATAAGTTTTACCATAGCAGCCATTCTCAACCTTAGCAGTATTGACATTTTGGGCTGGATAATTCTTTGTTGGGTTTGGGGATAGGGCTGTTCTGTGCATTACAGGATGCTTCTGACTATCCCTGGCCTCTACTCAGTAGAAACCTGTGGCATCCCCAGTCATGCCAATCAAAAATGACTCCAGACATTGCCAAATGTCCCTTGGGTTATAGATTGGCCCCTGACTAAGAACCACTGCAGTATAGGAATCACAAGTATAAAAGAGAAATATGGCAAAGAGTAATAACCATAAATATTATCAGGGAACTAAAAGTTGTCCTTCATCTACCCCATTTTGGACTTTATCCTTTGGAGTCTAGGCCAAACTTAGAAAGGAGTTGCTTATCTGTGACCTCTCTGTACCTGTTAACTCTTCTCTAGGTAGCTCCAGGATTGCACTAGTCAGTGCAGTAGCCACTAACCACATGTAGCTGCTTAAATTTAAATTAATTAAAATTAAGGCCAGACGCGATAGCTCATACCTGTAATCCTAGCACTTTGGGAGGCCGAGGTGAGTGGATCACCTGAGGTCAGGAGTTCTGGACCAGCCTGGCCAGCATGGTGAAACCACATCTCTACTAAAAATATGAAAATTAGCTGGGCATAGTGATGGACACCAGTAATCCCAGCTACTCGGGAGGCTGAGGCAGGAGAATCACTTGAAGCTGGGAGGCAGAGTTTGCAGTGAGCTGAGAGTGTACCACTGCACTCCAGCCTGGCAACAGAGTGAGATTCCGTCTCAGAAAATAAATAAATAAATAAAATTTCAGTTTCTTAGGTGCACAAGCTACATTTCCTATGCTTAGTAACATGTGATTAGTGATGACCATATTAGCATAGATGTAGGACATTCCATCATCTCAAGAAAATTCTCTTTGACAGCACTGCTTCAGAAAATTCATCTCGAAGAATTTTCTTCAAAATGGCTTAAAGCCCATTTATTTACACTCTAGAGCAGGCCTGGGATCCTTGAATCCATAGAGTCCACAGATGGACTGCAGGTCTCTAAGAACTCCTAAAATCACTTGCTAAATTATGTGTCTGTGCTTTGCTGAGAGTTTATTGCTTACATCATATTCTCAAAGGGGTCTGATTCCATAAAAGTGTAGGGATCACCTACCTTAGGAATTATTTTGGTCGCATTTGATTTTTAACAGTATTGGAAAAGAGCCGTGTCACTGTATTATACTTCTATAAAATTGTCACGTTACTTCTGTTAAAAAGGCCTGGCATTTTTTTCTCCTGCTTTATAAATCTTTAAAAGGCTTCTTTCTTGAGCTTTATGAAATTGTGATCTTCAGTCAGTATGTGATGACTGGGCTAGGTAAATGTCACATAATTTGAAATTATGGAATACCTTGAGAATTATTGGAACTCCTCTTTCATTCCTCCTTCCCTCTTCCAGCATAAGTACCTGAATTTATCATAAAAAGGTTTTTTAATTAATGAAGGACTCTGGCCCTTTATCTATGGGCTTTGTAAGTTTTATGATTTTATTTTGTAATGTGTGGAGCTTGATGGGGTAGGGTTTGGCATTAGGTCTGTCATGATTGTGACTATTATTAGCAATGTTATATGTAAAATCTGGTGTTCATATCATATTGCCTGTATCACAGAATTTTTTTGTCTGTTCAGAATTGAGTTTTTATAGTAATAAACAGGCTTTATAAGTATAAATATTTTACATATGACAGTTCTGTAACCTCCGTTTTTCCTGTTGGGAACAGGTTTGAAGGTTGAAGTGACTCATTGTGGAACAATGAGACGGAAATACCGTGTTTGTAATGTAACAAGGAGGCCTGCCAGTCATCAAACGTAAGAAAAGTTTGTCAGAGCAGTGATGGTGTGAGGCAGCTTGCTCTAGTTAGTGGGGTTGAGAGTTTTTCTGGCTCATAATGGGAAAGAAGTGTTCATATGTACTTTTTTTTTTTCTCAGCTTTCCTTTACAGTTGGAAAATGGCCAAACTGTGGAGAGAACAGTAGCACAGTATTTTAGAGAAAAGTATACTCTTCAGCTGAAGTACCCGCATCTTCCTTGTCTGCAAGTTGGGCAGGAGCAGAAACATACCTACCTGCCGCTAGAAGTAATACCTTCACGCTGCTAATTAATACCCTATTGTTCATCATCCTTTTTGGGTCTTTTATGCCCAATAACTTACTTCATATGTAACATTCATTTTGGAATGTGAACTGTTGATAAGTTTTAATTCATTCTAAATTGTTTGTAATGAAATAACATGAAACAAGTTCATCCATAATCCTACCACTCTAGTATAACAACTATTAACATTTTGGTATACTGTACTTCTTCCATTCTTTATCTGGTGTACATTTTACTTAATTATAATCATGCTGTAGAGCAGTCTTGTTTAGTACTTTTTTACTTAATATATTGAAAATAAGTG